TTTTCTGGTTGATTGGTTACGTTTATTTATCATGGTGAAATAAGTAAACATCATTGCTCTTTTTTTTTGGTGTGCTATTTATTCATTTAGTAGCAATTGATGGTCTTCATAATGTTTCCATTTTCGATGTACCAGCCTAGATCTTGTTATCGGGATTACCTAGGAACAATTTTTTGTAACTCGGCCCAATAATCGACCTGTACAGGGCTAACGTACCGGGTCAGTTGCTGAACCCGATAATTAATTTGTATAATTTTAAAATATATATGTACTATTCTTTTAATTTAAATATACAAAAAAGTAACAAAAATAAATAATTTATATGTTACTTCAAGTCTATAATATTGTATTTGTATCTCATCATAAATATGTATCAGATAAATGTATATACATAATTTTTATTTTTAAAATACCATATATTTTAACAAACAAGAGAAAAAAAAACTGTAATGGGTGGGTCAAACCAAGTTGACCAGGCCTGTGCAATGCCCGAGTCGACCGCAGTTGGCCTGGTTTTGACTGGACCGGTCCGGCTAACCCATGGACCGGGCTTGGATCTAGGAGTGGGTTTACCCGTTGGGCCGGTCTGGGTCGAAAACCGTGCCTAGGAACTTTCACGTATATTTCTCTGATTTCTTAGCACTTGGGTAACTTAGCTAAAAATGGCCACATTAATTTTATTTGGTTCTGGAAAAAGTTGCATTGAGTCATTCACTCTATTGGAGGGATGCATATGGCGAGTTACTGGTGTTTTTCTCTTACACTGTTGCCTAATTACTGTAAATTAGGTTCCCATTAATGGTAATCTTCAAGTCTTGAACTTAGATCTGATTGTTGGTATTTTGCCCTAGCAAGATGCTATATGCACCAGTAATATGCTGGTATAAGTATCTAATTGTGATATTGCTTGATCGAATCTGATTTTGTTGTCATGGGCTATAAAGGAAGTTTAGTTAAGTTAACGACCGGGATGCATCAGTCCACTCTATGATCTGATTCAGTGAGTCATCTTAATATTTTGCCAACGTTGTAGTGTAAGATCTTGTGCATGGCTGGCAATAAAGGTGACAAACTAGTTTTTAATGGCAAAAAGTAAATGCACCATGTACAGCCGCACCATTGCTGCTTAGTTAAAAACAACATATGATTATTTGGAATTCCGAAGTGTTGCATGAGTCAAAAGTGCTGCCTTCTGTTCTGTGTTACTTTCTAGTTTATCTCCACATCCTTTTATCCATATCCCCTGCACAATGCACATTGATCTTTTGTGATTTATTTAACTACTCTCGTTGCTAATTTAATGATCGTCGAACTATTGTGTTTATAGACCAACACAGAGCATTGGTCTGCTTTCGTATACATTCTTGAAAGACACGGGAAAACAGGACATTGTAGTCCCCATGGTAAGTAATGTATCTTTCTTTTCAAAATAACTACATGTTTGGTAAGAGATCTACAAGCACGGTGTGATGTCAAGGAAGACTATTGGAAACCCAAACAAAAATAGAGCACATTATTATCATTGAAAGGTTTATTAGTCATATTCTATATGGATGTGAATAATGTTGATCTGAATCTGGAAATGCTTCTGCCTTAAAATATGTTTGCTAGCAGATGAGTGACCGTCTACTAGTTTTTTTTCCTAAATGCCTCATGTGGAGTTATCTGCCTACTTCAAGTTCAAGTGATAAAACACAGTAAATTCTTAATTTCTTTTTTTCTTTTTTTTTTTTTTTGGGAAATCATATAAGGCCGTTTTCATTTTTTGGGGAACCAAATATGTAAAACATTTTTTGTGCCTCTTTATTGGATGGTCTATCTGGGAGTTCTTTGGCAATTATGGATCCCCAGAATCTAACTTAACCATATTTTCTATTTCCATTGTGTTGTCTTCCGTTTGAAGAAAAAAAAAAAACACTAATGTTTGTGTAAATTCAAACTCAAAGCTGCACCAAGCTATTTTAGAGTTTAAAGGCGTTCAATCAATTCATATCCGATAGTCAACTTCTCTCATCAACTATACAAGCATCTTCTATTTTTACAAAAGTAAGGACACACACAAAGTATCCATTTTCACCCCACTTCCGGAGAGATCTTTAATATCAGAATCCGAAAGAACTTTTTAGGAATGAAGTTGACATGTGATTAAATGTGGAAACTAGCACAATTAAAATATTGACAAAGCCTTTCTCAATAAGTCTGAAACTCGTTTCTATTGATGTAAATGAGTTTGTAAAGTGTCACCAATATCTGCAGTCCCACGTAACTTTTGTTCAACTTTTGATGATAATATGATTTGAAAAGTTGGATCTTGCAACATTCTGGCCATCTATTTGTTAAATTATGGTTTTTTTCTGGACTTCATTATTTTAATTTCGCTGCCCTATATGCTTCTTGGCTACTGTAATGCTTTATCCTCAAAGGAGAACCAGATTGGTGCAATTATTGTTGGGAGTTACCATTACTTTTCAAAATAATGGTTGGCATTATTGATGGGTTGTATTATTGACCTTTTCAAATTGATTAAAGCTTGATTATGAAAGAAAAAGACAAGACTGGAACAAGATCATTCGATCTTCAGGGTTCGACTGGGATAGAAATGTTGAGACGATAATTCAGTGGTCTCCATTTTCAAGTGAAGCAGATCTTCTTCGGCAGGTGATGTTTGTTTAATGATTCTTGTCAGTGTTTAGTTATGTAGATTTACTGTGTCTAAGTTTAAAAATCTCAGCATTGAAATATATTAATAAATTTTGTTTGACGACTTATGTCATTTGTGTAGTCTAGGTCTTAGCGTAGCACCAACACTTTTGCTATTTGTTTCCACGCTTCTCATATAATTACTGTGTAGACTGGCAGTTATATTAGTTGTGTTTTTTGAGTCTCTGGAGGCTTTACTCATTTTGTTCGACTGATTGGCTGTTTATTTTATCATTGTTTAATATTATTTTGGTAAGTAATTGAGCTTTTGGCACGTGCTATAGTACCCATTAGGGCCGTGTTTAGAGGTTATGCATCTATTAAATAACTGCGGGTTATTCGTCAAGCTATTATTCTGTTTAATAATAGGATTGGCGGGAAGATATGCTGGAATAAAGTACATTATGCTGAATCGGATTTGTTCCAAGTTGTTCTCTGTTATTTTCTTAATTAATTTATTGGATATTTTTTTTTTTTTTCCTGGTTTGCATTAACTTTAAATTTGTCAAGATAACCTCGAAAGGGTAAAGATGCGGTTGTATATCATTTCTTGTTGAAAATTTTCGTTTTGTAAGAGTGTCCAAAGAATGAAAAATATTAAGTGAATGAATATGAGAAGTAGTGTAATGATTAAAATGGAATTATACATTTATTCAGGTAGTACAATAATAATTGGTGTTGGGATTTTTGGGTAGGTGAAATGGTGAACTATGCAGATTATGTGGAAAATGTGTAATAGAGATTCATGATTGGATTATATTAAACATGAGTTGAAGTGCTTTATCAAAATGGTATAAACTTTTATGTACACCTTGTCTACCAAGTTCTTATTCTTCCTTCCTTTTCTTCAATGCCATGGCCAATCCGCCACCTTCAATCTAGACTTATCTTCTCTCTTCTTCATTTGTTTCAACTCCCACATCTACTGCCACTCATCAGGGCTATCTAAATACCATTTCAACTGTATTAACGCTTAAGTCTGGTCATAATGGCCTCCCATAAATGTCAATGGTACTGATCTCCTCATTTCTGAAATGGGTCAAGCGTTGAAGTGACTGCTGAGTATGTTTTTGAGCATCTCACCTTGATCAATTTCCCATGGCATAATGCTTTTTCAAAAAATCTCTTTTCAGGTTCTTAAATGATCTTTCCAAACTTGCAATTTAAGTTCAAGTCACAGACACTACCAGCATACCAAGGCTGTGATGGTCCTTCGAGTTCTTACTCTAAATGGACAGTGAATTTATATTATATGTCAAACCTGCAGAGGCAAGGCTTTATTCTTATCAAAGCCACCCTGATTGTGAGCTGGGCATGTAAAAATGTTATTTGCCTTGAATCTATCATACTGATTGAGACCGAAATTCAGTTATTCATTATTCTCCTGAAGATGTAATCTTTGATGGAGAATCAATCAAATATTTTAATCCAATTTCAGTGCTATACCAATAAGCATTTTTTAAATCTCATTATCTACCTGTATCCATTGTTGGTGGATGTGGAGGGGGAGAGCTAAGGTGTCCCCTTGCTTCTGACGAGGGTTGATGTGGGCACTACCTTTGTGCAAATAAGATGTTGATACATTTGATGATGTGATTATTGACTACTATAGTACTATGCTAATTTCATATCTTTCTACTTTGTAGTTTAATCGGATGCAAGATCAGGGTACTCAAATAATTATATACAATCTTTGGGAGGACGATCAGGGCCTGCTGGAACTGGATTTTGATACTGATCTACATGTAAGCCTCCCTAGAAGCTTATATGTGTAGGTGCTTCTCGTCTCTTGACATTCTTTGTTTTCATTATATTTATAGGATATCCAAATCAGAGGTGTCAACAGAGATGAGAAGAGCATAGATATGGCAAAGAAATATCCCAACTCCAAGCACTTCCTGACCTATCACCATTCATTGAGGGTAATGACTGCAGTTTATGTTTTTCATCCCTCGTCCGTAGGGTGTGTGATTCACCGAATTTATTTTAATTAGTATGCTGTAATATGGATCAACTCATATCAGGCTTTGTTATCCTCATCATCTCACGCGCATTTCTCTCCATTGTCCTTGTACTTTTTGGGTTTCCATAATTTGCTCATGCATCTGCTATCACATATTTGAGAGACCCAAGCTGTGAACCAGATAGTAAGTTTCGATTATAGCTGCAATCAGTATCTTAGAAATGTAAGGTTTGCTCTTTTGGAGCAAACCAAATACGTTTAATTAGGATTAAGTATAATGTAAGAAAAGATGAATATATAATCAGCGTCTTTCATTGACTGTGAATGCTTATTCTAACTCTAAAAGTACTATTATTTGTTTTAGATAACCCCAAAATATTTACCCATCTGTGCATCCATATACCATTACTCTTTAACATAGCAATCAGGGATGAATTTTCTTTTAATGGAATCCAATGTTAAAATTGCAGAGTTATGCAGCTATTTTGTACCTTAGGGTTCCTCCTCATTTCCGGATTATTCTGCGTGGTGAAGATGTTGAGCATCATAATGTTGTGAATGATATGATGATGTCGCAGGAAGTTACATACCGTCCTCAACCTGGGGCTGATGGGATCCCAACGGACTCAAATGTAACTTTACCAGTCACTGAGTTTGGTTTCAATATATATCTCATGTATGCAGGTGGCAACTTCGTGTACTAATTTCTATGCGTGCGATAGATGATGGCTGTAGTTACCGTTGGGTTCGTAAAGGATGCAGAGGCACATATTAATGTTCAGGGGTTCAACGTCTATCACAAAAACAGGCTTATCAAGGTAATTATCTGTTAATTTTTTGTTTCTAGCCCCAAAATCTAAGGCCTTTTAAATTCATTGGTGGTAAATGATATAAATTTTTTATTTTTACTTTTTAGTCAACTATAAATGAAAAATTACAAAAAGAGAAAAGAAGAAAAATCAGTCAGCAGATTACTTGACGCTTGCTTCGTGTTTACTTAATTTACGTCAACTTCATCCCGAGTTTTGCAATCGTTAAAGTTGTTTTCCACCAATACACATGTAATGTTTCTTCTGTATTTTTCTATCAAGTATTAGATTTTTTTTCACCTAATCGATCTATGTTTGAAAGCATTCCTCACTTTAAGCATTTTTGTGTTTCCAGCCATTTTGGAGAGTTTGGACACCCCCTGGTAGTGAGGGTCGTGGGGTTATAGGTATTTTTGTAAAGATTTACTTAAGAAGTGTGATTATGTGGGTTAGGTTGGTTAATACTTTTTGTTGTCCTGTGTACAGGTGTGCTTGAGGCCAACTTTGTTGAACCAGCACATGATAAGCAAGGTTTTGAGCGCACTACAGTTCTTGCGAGACTAGAGACAAAATTAGTGCAAATGCAAAAGAATTATTGGTTAGTCGCTCTGTCTCTGGAATATAATGAATTAATGATTTTGTTTCTATTTTGCTTAGATATGTATATAATTGTTTTTTTTCCTTTGCTTCTGTTAGGACCTCTAACTGTCACAAAATTGGCTACGCTCCTCGACGAAATAAAAATGTTCATCAAAGAGGTAATAGAGGACCTAAGTTTCATATCTTTACTGTGAATCAATACCTCAAGAATGATAGAATCCCCCTAAATACCAGTCACACGAAAAATAAACAAATAAATAAAACTAATCAAATCAATAAATTAAAAACAAAAATGAGAAAGAAAAAAAAAGTGGGAAATAGAAAGATGAGAAAATTGTACAGCTCGACATATTTCTGTTGAAGTTCTGGCTGACGATTGTTTGCTTCCAGAGATATCAACTGATTCTGATCATCGAAGTCCACGAAAGAAGAAAAATATCGGTTTGAGGAACAAGTCACAAGCCAACTTCATGGAGAAGGGCAATAACAACGAGTATTCAAGTGGGAAGGGGGATGTCAGATCACGTCGGAAGCAACCAAGTTACACTGAGCTATCCTCATCTTCTGAAGAGGATGAAGGCAATAAATATAGGCAAAACCGAACTCCTAGAAGCCAGGTCAATGGTTCATCGTCCAAGGATACATATGAAAAGGATGGATTGCGGAAACCATCAGGCTTGAGCAGTCGTGAAGCTGCAAAAGATAACTTAGCTGCTGAAACGCTTGGTAAGACAACGAGAAGTTCACACCCACAGGTGAATATTCTACTTCGATATTATTTAGTATCTGTTTAAGGTTTTTTTCCTATTGAATAACAAGTAATTCCGGGCTCCCACTTTTGTCTTAGTTTTGACTTTATGTTTGTTGTTGGATGTGATAAACAGGAGAATGGTTATAATAACAATGAATTCTCACCAAGTTCTAGTTCCCAATCATTAGCTCAGTTGAGAGAAGAAAACCTCAAATTGAAAGAAAGGTCCTAATTCCTTATCTGAATTGTGAATTTATACGATGTTATATCACCTGCCAAATAATTTTATGTTGTTGAATTCACAGATTGAAATGGCAAGAAGACGAGACTCTTGGTGATTTGCTGCATGATATACTGAAAGAAAAAGAAAGAATCAAGTCTCTCGAAGCTCAGGTAATAATTGATACCATTTTGCCTGTGAGAAACAAGATACTCAGGTTAATGAAATCTTGTGGCTGAAGTTCTATAAGATACCTCCAGGCATGATGATATTTGTTTTGTTCAATGCATGATTGTGATTCCTAACTCCTCGAGTTTTAAAATACAAGTAGATGTAATTTGATGCCTAGTATGTGGATATGTTGCATAGTTCAAGCATTTAAATTAGCAATGATACTAATATTTTCTTTAATCCAAAGATTCTGGCCTGCTTTTTCATCTTTCGGTCTCTCTGGTGTATTAAGTGGATTATAAGAAATAAGTCAAATAAATTTATGCTCATTGAATATCAAAATTAGTCTATCAATGTTATGATGTAAATAGTCTTGTATGTTAAAGCAAGTGATTGCAGGAAACAAAATCATGCTTGATCTTTATATGTCTATTATCCATATAATGTTCAATGAGAAGGAAGAAAGATGAGTTGAGTATTTTTGTTGCTGGGGAAGTCTTGGGTAGTGCGAAAATGTTGGGTTTTAACTATATGTTCTTACTTTCAAAAGTTTATGTTGGTCAATTTAAACAAGCACATGCGAAACCAAATTTTATTGTGTCCAGAGGCTGCAACACTTACTGATCGGTGTTGTTATTGCTTATTGCTGTCATATTTGATATTGAAAATACCACTTTCACCTTATTAATTGAAGAATTATGTTACTTTGACAATTTTTTAACATGATGGATGACATAAATTACGTGTAAGTGTAGTCATTGTTGACTTCAAAGTAGATATGATGTGTAAAACTGTACGATCTTGCCACTATGTATTATGCAAACATTATGTTAGTGTAGCATCATCCTTAATTTAAACAACCTTTAAAATCTTTCTAGATTCATTCTGACATAAATGTCGTACATTTTACGTGGGCATAGATTGTGATAAATTTGTGCTTCTGATTGTCTTATATGCAATGCATTGGATCCATTATAAAATAGTATTAGCACTGATTAGCTATTATTCCAGTTCCCAAAGTTTAATGTGGGTTCAGTAGACTACACTGTAGAATAGCATGTTTTCATCCAACTTCTCTAACAATCCAAAACCTGTTTGATTTTAACTTTGATTGTCCTCTCTAAGCTGACGCCTTTCTTATTCGACCAGCTGCAAGAAACAACACAAAAATATGAGGAACTAAAAGCAGAGCAGGAGAGTTTGATAGATATATTTTCGGAAGAGAAGCAGCGTCGCGACAAGGAGGAACAGAAATTGAGATTAGATTTAAAGGTTCACCTTTTTCTTTTTTCTTTTTTCCTCCTGCTGCTTTAGTTGATTTAAATAAGTTCTTGCAACTCACCTTATGGGCAAGTCTTTTTTTTTTGTGTTCAGGAAGCCAGAAATACCATTCAGCAATTGATGGACAGGATAAAGTTGTTGGATAACAGTAAATATGGTTAATTCGACCTATCGTTGACGATAATGATATCCGTAATCGCGTCAAGTAAAGCTGTATATATAGTAAGTTGGGAGCTACAGCATTTTGCTGACGCCTATCCCTTTCACTGACCTGTGTGCACTAGGTGTGGTACATGCTTATATGGTCTATTGTGATTTGAAGTTTTACGGATTTGTGGCGATAGACTATATAAATGTACATAAGAGGTATTCAAAACACTCACATGGAGTGAGTCCACTTGATTTTTTATTTTTGGTTGATCTCACTCAATGTGAGTGTTATTTACACTCACAATATTATGTACATATAACATTTCTCTAATATTATGTACATATAACATTTCTCTGTTTGCATAATTCCTTCTTCGATAATACCGCTATGAAAAATGTCATTTGGCAAAAAGTGACGAGGCAACACCATTTGTTCATAAAAAGAAACTTCCGAAGTACTAATATGGTTGGTCAAGTGAAGGTAATTGACATTTGGATTGATCTTTTCCAATATCTAGAACAAAGCAGTTACAAGTAGAGCTGCAAAAGAGCCGAGTGGCTCGCGTCAAAGCTCGACTCGATCTCGAGTTTGATCGAACTCGAGTTGAGCTCGAGCGGCTCGACCACGAACTTGAGTCGAGCTCGCGCTCATATTTTGCCTTGTCGAGCGACTTGAAAAACATGTTAAATTATTAAAATACCCTTCATTCGAATAATTTTCGAACTTGAAACTTGAACTTTGTAACTTTTAAATTGAATAGTTTACTCTTTGAAACTGAATTCGAGCATTTATTAATAAGAATTAACTTACATTCGGAAGCTAATTACAACATAATTATTATTAAAATACTAGGCGTTACACACATCATTCCAATTTGTTGAACAAAAAAATTGTACAAGTAGCTTTTCCAAAGAAAAAACCTTTTTCTGTATTATTCCAACACATATTTGTTTACTACTTTATTGTGCATTTATTTTATTTTTTTATTTATTTATTCAGCTAGCAACGTCAGTGACCAAATTATTCCTTCTGGATTGATTTGAGCTATCAATGCAGACTTGTCGATCTTGCAAATTCATCTGCCAAGCAACTTTGTTTTGTTATGTCATTTGTTTCCTCTATCTTTTGAAACAAAAAAATTGTACAAGTAGCTTTTCCAAAGAAAAAACCTTTTTCTGTATTATTCCAACACATATTTGTTTACTACTTTATTGTGCATTTATTTTATTTTTTTATTTATTTATTCAGCTAGCAACGTCAGTGACCAAATTATTCCTTCTGGATTGATTTGAGCTATCAATGCAGACTTGTCGATCTTGCAAATTCATCTGCCAAGCAACTTTGTTTTGTTATGTCATTTGTTTCCTCTATCTTTTGAAACTCATCAGGTAACAATTTATTATGGAGTTTTTACATATAACAAGTGAGAATCTCGTGCGATGCACGGGGATTTCGTAATGTAAAATATTTTTGCAAAACTTTATTTTAATAATGTATTAGTTCGTTAATCTATCTATATTAATATAAATAACATTTTAACATATATATTTATTTCTTAATACAAAAAAAATAAGAATTTTACATATTTTTGTTTATCATAATGCTCAGATATTACTTTATTAAAAAACTTATTGTCTTATAATGTCAATATTATTTATACCATTTATAGAGATAATATTTCTTTTTTATATGATAGTAAATATTTAATGTAATTTATTGATGTGATTAATATAAAAATATATAAGTAAATCTAATTTTTGTTAGGAATGTGATATATCTCGATATTTTAAGTACAATTATATGATATGAATATCTTGTGATACAAAAGAAATTTTTATGCAATTTATTACCTTAGTTAATCATACGCAATTACCTAAATTGTATCTTTAAAATATAATAACATAAAATGTTTAAATTGCTTAAAAAATAATCAAACCTTTAT